AAATAAATTAAATAAATATTTCAAGAATTTGGGGTGTTACACCAGTGATCAACTCTTGTACGCAAGATTTAATCATCTCTATCAGAAGTCTCTGATGTACAGAAGATAAGATCAAAAGTTTACGAGGGATAATAGTACATAGCACGTATCAAAACGTTTCATTCCACTACCCTGATTTGGTTGTACAAAGGACAACTTTTGTGTATGATTTTCATCCCTGCGTAACGACATTCTTTGAAGTCGCCAGCTCACTCAAGGATATTCCTGATGTGCCCTTCAACGGATCTTTTACTGGCTATATAAGGACTTGGACACTTGAGGAAAAACAATAATAAGTAACGCATGAGAATAAGAACAGTAGTGAAGAAATACAACGAAAGAATAATATTCATACTGTGCAAATTTTCTTTAAGTAATTTGTGATATTCATAGTGTTTATATCTGCTTGTGTAGAAGCAAATTCGTTGTAAACATTTATTTTTTCAAACAGTTGTTTGTAATTCTTTAAGGGACTAGTTGGGTCAGAATTCCTAAAAAGAGACAGTTAACCTTTGTTGTTAGTCACCAGTAGTTGCTAGTGCAAATTGCAATCAGTTGATTATAGTGGATTAAGTCCTTATGTATAAGGCGAAATCACATTGGCGTATGGACTGGATTAACTTGATAATTTTCAAGTGAGCTAGGATATATCGTGTGTCTTTCTCTCCTGTTAGTATCTTTGTGATCTTTGTTTGAGTTTCACAAAAAGCTCTCATTTTTGAAAATCCAATTCAAATCCCCATTTCTTGTTTTTTCTCACACCTTCAAGATCTATAAAGGTTTGTAAGGTTGTAACATGACCTGGTTTCATAACAAATGGTCATTTCTTAGGCTATTGAATCGAAGTTGTCACGCAAAATAAACATTCACTATACAAGATATTTACACATCACAACTTCTTTTCACCAATTTCTTTTCTCTATTGCTCACTCTTTCAAAGTTGTTTTGCACAATTATTCTTCATCTTCTATTTTTCTCTCTCTTTCAAACAAACATTTTTATCTCTTTCTTTTCTTTTCTTTTTCAAATTCATATTCACAGTTTTCCATGCATGTTCAAAAATTTTCAAATTTTATACCAATCTACTATTTTTCTTTCGTTCTCTCCAACTTGAATATAATTAATCTTTAAGTAAATGTTCCTTACTTTTTATGACAAGGAAATCAATTTAAAACAATGATCAAAGTTCAAAGGTTTTAAGAACAATTTTTTTTTAGAATCTCACAAAATTCAATGATGAACTTAAATTTCAAGTTTCTTTATGTACGTAAACCAAGTTCATCACCAAAATGGAATCTAATATGTTAAGGCTCAAAGGGGTTAACGAATACTCACTACTCATCAGGTAAGTTACTTTTTTTTGGATATGATTATGCTCAATATAAACAAATTGTCTTGATCATTTCTAAAACTTCCACAAAATCAAAATAATCAAAAGATTAAGCATGAATAAAATGAGTTAAACAAAGTCATCATTCATCCAAGCATTTAGTGCATAATGGAGGTTTCTCACAATTTGTGGTTTTTGGACCTAAGTGACTCAAGCATTCAAATAAGTTGCAAAACAAAACAAGAATATACATTTGTACAAAGCACAAAATTCTTAGTCATTCTAACATTCTAGAAAGCGATAACCATGTACCTTGCTTGCATTCATCACATTCAAAATCCTATCATCACCATCCAAACTTGGTAGAATCTTCATTGGATACTTTTTATGCAAAATAGCAACCATACTATGAAGTTCTCCTTATCTCATTCAATGTAGAAGCATAAAAACTTCAAAACAATTTACAAACGTAAAATAAACTAATTGGACATTCAACTGAAATATTTAATTCATTAAACATAATGTAATGGTGTGCAACAACAAAAGTAATAATAGAAATCCAAAATAAATCTAACTAACTGGATAGAGGACACCATAAAAATAAAAGAAATAAAATGCAACAATATCAAAATATAGCAATGATCATAAAACTTAACAAGAAACTTCACTTTGTCGAAACACAAGGAAGCAAGCTTTTAAGATCATGCTAAATAAACATCAAAAACTAATCCTTATCAAACTCAGACTCATTCTCCTCAGCACCATCACCATCATCATCATCATCCTCATCCTCAGCATGAGTTACACTCGTCTCTTTTCTAGAAAATCGCCTAGCCTCAGGCCAACCTGCATGCGCTAGGAACTGTTCCTTAGACATGATAGAGTGATCAACTATAGGCTCACAGTACTGTAATTGCATCAGCTGCATAGAATCATATATCGAAATTATAGCACGCTGATTCGCCGACATCGAATCCAAATTATAGTTGCAGACTTCCCTCTGATTAAGGTGAAAACTCTGGAAGTTAGCTACTCCAAAATTTGAACACTATCCTGCATGTGAAGCTTCTCTAGCTCTACCTCTAGCTCATACTCTCCTCTTCGGCTTGTAAAACATGGAAACATAAGCATCATCAATAGCAATGGTCAGTGTGACATGGCGGCGGGAAAGTAACTTTGCACGCCCGTGCACACATAACGACATGATCAAGCATGGGAAAACCAAATGGAAATTAGCTCTGGACCCTGGTTTTACACCACTTTCTACCACCTCTCGTATCTCATTAGCAATGATGCGTGCCATATCCATCTGCGTATTCAAGAGGATACTATCCACCAGGTGTGCCATGTAAATTAGAATTGTTGAAGAATGAGTCCTTGGCTTGATGTTATGCAACATCAAAAGTAAGGCAGACTGAGCCACATGACACATGTGACTAGAAGAACATGCTCGTCAGGATCTCCCTTTCCATCATACTCCTACTTGGGATGCTTTTGCAAGAATTTAGGTATCTTATTATCTAAGATATAGGCGCTAAAGGGGTGCTTTGGTTGGACCATGACCTGCTGGTTTTCTCTATGATTCGAGGAGGGAGCTTGATTGCACCAATCTCCTTCGGGACTTTGAGTGGGAGGATGACGCTTCTTGCTTTTCAATTTATTTTAGGTTTAAGACACTTTTCTCTCTTGCCTGCGGTCGGCACTAGGACAATGGTATGAGATCTTATAGAATTCGCTTATCGGATACTATTCTAGTGAAGGGGAGCGATATGAAGGCTTTCTTTAAGCCCGAGCAACCGCTCTTCCACCGCTTGTGAGGTTTGTTGTTGGAGAATGTAGTAAATACCATTCAACAACTCGTTGGCACCCTAAACACCAAGATTTGTCTGAAGTTGTTGGAAAGAAGACAACATATCAAGTTGTGTAGTCTAGAGATGAATATGAGTTCTAACTTCTAAGCGATGGCGCTTGGATAGTCCTCACAATTTGAGGAGTTAGGATCATGTATGGACGAGGAGGAATCTTTGTTTCTTGATACGTTGCGCCCGGGGGAAGAAGTGGAGTAGGTTGATTGATCGTTGCTTGCACCACAATTATGGCGGCTAAAACACCTTCTCGTGCTAAGGCGGAACGAGTTTCTTTAGGTCCACCCATTGCTTCAAAGGCGACAAAGGTGAAGGTTCGTGGAACTGACGAAACGAAGCTGATATGGAACTTGATTGAACCAAATGTAAAGGATCTCAATCGAGTTGTCGAGATGATTCCTGACGGAAGAACTGAAAACCAAATTGAAAGTTGTGAAAAACGTATGAGTTAACAGCTGACTCCAAGAGATGGTGCTACTGTTCCAATATGGAACTAGAAATGGAGAGAAGTTCGAAGATAACCTCCGAAAAGAGCTTCTGGCGCGATGGAAAGGGGCATATCTGGAAGGTTAGCACTCTAATGTTCAAGCCAATATGTGAAAAAGAGTGTATTTAAATTGTGTTTGAATCATAAACCTTCACATGAATTAGCGTCATTCTTTTATATAGAAAGGAGATATAACAGTTTCTCTATTTTCAGGCGAGGACTGTGGAGAACCGTTGGATGTTTTTGAGGAGCAAATCCCATATGGTCAGGTGCTGGGTGATCTTAGCATAATAGAAAGGTCTCTGAAGTAAGATGGTTTGACCGGGATCAATTTGATTGTCCCAATACAGGTCCTTCTCGGATGGTCGGTCAGACGAATATGATTGACCCATAACAATAACCAAAACATTGTGGCCTATAAAATACAACTTTATTCGTCTATTTTCCCTGGTAATATGTAATGTAATTCTTCGTGTTGTTGGGTGTGCATGACGCCCCACATTTGACATGTTTCTTCCCTACTCACAACACTTTTTATTTTCCTTAACCACTAGAGTGAAGATAATGGTTTCAAATTAACGGTGTTCGGAACATGTAACACGAACATAAACTTGAATTTTCAAGTTTCATGTGCCTTTAGCTAGTTCTGTTGCTTCCTAAGAAAGCTTGATCATTTTAGCTCTATTCATAAATCTGAAGGTTTCTGAAAACCATCTCTCAGATCTCTTTTGGCTTTGCATATTTGCCCCATATGAACTGGGGACAGAGTCTCTTTTCCTCCTGGCAAATAGTGCTAGGAAGTTCCACAATCTGCTAGCCAAAAACGATTGAGGCAAAGTCATCCTACCTTCAAAAGAAAGAGTGTCTGTTTTCCAATCATTAAGTTCCACAATCCGCTCTTCAAAACAAAAACCATGACTAACAAAAAAAAAAACTATATAGCACCAATTGTCTCTTGCGGAACAATATAATGAGAAACAAGTGTATTGAATAAAGGACTAGCAATACAACTAAAAAAAGTTATCGTGTAACGCATCTATTAGCGATTAATGTACAATAGTCTAACAGTCAAAATCTAAGAAAATCAAAAGGACTTGAAGGATTGTTTCAACTAAGGCCAGGTCTTTGAATATACATATTTTTCCATGATCTCTATCATGCATTATACATACATATACATACATATTTCCTATTTGATCCGTAGGTGAACAAGCAATCAAGTTCAACTTTAAGCTCAATTCTTACGACTTCTGATAATTCGATTACATCACAGTTTCAATCAAGCATTAGCGTCTGGACCAGGTGGTTTTGCATTGAGAAGTGGCTGAAGAGCTTTGACAACAATTGTCATGTTTGGCCGAAAATCAGCTTCATACTGAACACACAGTGCTGCTACAGCTGCCAACTACATATATCACCGTCAAATGATTAGTCACTCATTTTTACAAATTATTTTCACCATTTCCTTTACAAATCTTCTAAAGCATGATGAAAACCAGTACGAGAAAACAAAAACAGAAAACAGTTTATAATTCGAAACAGACCATTCATAAATAGTTAAGGAGCAAACCTTAGCAATTGCCTTTGGAGGGTAGTCATTGTTTAGCTTAGGATCCACACATTGTTTCACTTTGTCCTCACTCAACCTTGGAGTTGCCTAAAACAGTTACAATAAGTTAATTAAGCCAATTAAACCAATTAAGTTAATTAGGCCTCTGAAGAATAACCAAATTGGGGATAAACATACCCAAGTCACAAGACTTTGTTGCCCTTTAGGCATTGTATGGTCTACCGGCTTTCTTCCGGTCAAGAGCTCTAAAAGCACAACTCCAAAACTATACACATCACTTTTTTGTGTTATTTGCCCTGTCATGGCATACCTGAAGATGAAGTAACCAAGGAAAATTCAGTATTCACCAAAACTTGATCTCAAAATAAACAAAGAGGAATGAAAAATTAAGAGGCATACTCTGGAGCATGATAGCCAAATGTTCCCAAGACTCTTGTAGAATGTAGCCGAGCTGCGGTGTCTGAAGACTGATTCGTCAAGCTGAAATCAGCAATCTTGGCTTCGTAATCATTGAACAGCAACACATTACTGGATCGAACATCGCGATGAACTATAGAAGGCTGAACTTTTTCATGAAGAAATTCTAGGCCTTTCGCTGCACCAAATGCAATTCTTGCTCTTTGGTTCCAGCTTAAAACTGGGCCGGGTTCAGCACCTTGTACACCCTTCCTTCCTGCAAAACCAAAAGCGTTGGTTTCACTCAAGGAAACACATTATATGAAACTCAAACTTATCTTACTCAAATCACATGAATCTCGTATAAATTTGGTAAAGTCTACATGAATTTTAACCGGAGTGTATTAAAAAGAGCGTTAAAAGCCGCATTGTTAGCATTTCTCAATGAAACTATATGGTTATAGCCCTACCGTGTAATACATCATGCAAAGAACCCAAACTTGCATATTGATAAACCAAAATTCTGTTGTCTGCTTCTAAACAATATCCAGTCAACTCCACAAAATTGTCATGCTTTAGTCTTGAAACAACCGATAGCTGCAAAATCCATAGTAACATTAGGCAATTTGACGACACAAAGAGCCAAAGCAATAACAATATCAAATTCTTGTATTTTTACCTGAGCAGCAAAATCCGATTCGGGATCAGGCGAAGAACTGGTATCTAGCTTTTTAATTGCAGCTTCAGTACCATTACTCATTTTTGCATAGTAAACCCTACCATAGGAACCTTCACCAATGAAAGCCTTGGAACCAAAGTTTCCTGTTAACCTATTTAACTCATCCAATGTTATTGAAGGTATCTCAATCGGTAATACTTTCTGCGGACCACCACTCTTGGTAATATTGCTCCTTGGCTCTCCTCTATCATTGCCTATTTCATACAAGATTATTTTATATTATCACTTATAATCTTCCCCACGAAAAGGTAATGGTTAACTAAGAAGTAATGAAGCATGTTATAGATTACCTCCACCTCCACCATACGCGTTGTTACCCCCTCTTGACGGTGCAGTGTATTGGTTTGCAGGCGGGCCGCTGGTCTCTTCTTCTGCACCTCCGCAACACAACATACTTCACCTACCCCTAGACGACGACGCACTCTCAATAACCCATTCACAGTAATTAATCACCTGAAATAAAGTAGCTCAAACCTCAAAAACTTTCTACAACATAGCTTATTGACATCAAAGCACATTTTACAATGGGGGAAAAAGAATATTCACAGCTTTGCATATCAACTATCAAATCTCAAGAAAAAATTCTCCAATTCAATATATTTTATGATCAATGCATAATCACAAACATAACATATGTAATAATAACAGCAATTTTATCCTATTCTTTGTTATTTAGCATCACATAAAACGAAATTGAAACCCTTGATTATAAGAAAATGAAAGACATTACCTATAATTCGTTACGGGATTGAAATTATGGAAACTCAACGAGACAAAATTTGGCAGAAAAGATTGAGAAAATTAAATTACAAACAATTATGATAATGAAAATAATAATTTAGGAACAGAAATGCATGCATGCATGGAGAGTTTAGGCGGGTTATGGAAGAAAGGGACATTGGTTGGTGATGAAAAATTAGAACCATATATAGATGCAGATTCTTCGCTGGTTATATTTCTATTTTAAACTTGATTCAGACAGCAAAAACATAACGTGCAATTTCAAATGCTATAACTTCATTGAATGTATGATTATGTAAAGTTGTTTATGTTTTCATTTTACATCATCATCTTCAATGAACTAAATCACTAATTATGGACTACCTAATTTTAGTGTGAAATAAAAATTAGTGTGAAATAAAATTATATATATATATATATATATATATATATATATATATATATATATATATATATATATATATATATATATATATATATATATATATATATATATATATATATATATATATATATATATATATATATATATATATATATATATATATATATATATATATATATATATATATATATATATATATATATATATATAGAACGTGGTACTGCTGTCGTTGCAACCGCTACTGATGCAACTGTTGTCGCTCCTGTTGTTACTTCTTCTCCTGTTGTTGTTGTTGAAGCACCGGTAGAAACCATGGTCCAACCCGCTGCCAACCTGCCAAACTCTTAGCCTGGTTCGAGTAGGATGCCTCCGAATTTCATGCCTCAAATTGTCAGTGGTAGTGCCTTTGTGCCGTATCAACCTTTTGTTGTGCCCGTGCCCAATGGAAATTCTGTTGCTTACACATGGGGCATGCCTACTCCATTTCCACCTCCTCTGGTGAACAATGATGATCATGAGATTCCTCAAGCGCAGATTCGCCAGACTCCTGTGCTAACTGATGTTGAGCCCCCTGATGAAGATGAGCATGTGTACAGAGGTCCCCCTATTCATATTCCAGTTTTATCTCAATCTGCTCAAACTGATGTTCAGAATGTTCCTTCTGGAATGTCTTATCTTAGGGCATCCTCAACCTCTGTGATACCTCCTCTAGGTTATTAGTATGGTTTTCAGATGAGTCAGAATGCTGGTCAGATGGTAAGTTTTGGATTGATGTATCCGTCTCATTTTGCTTCTCCTCAAATACCTGCTCCAGCTGCATCACAACTTTCAAATCCACAGACTCTTGTCAGACTTGCTGATCTTAATAGACCTGCGGAATACAGACCGTTAGATGATAGGATTATAGCTATTGAAGGTTATTCTATTTTTAGCATGGATACTAAAGATTTGTGTCTGGTTCCTAATGTTGTGTTGTCACAGAAATTCAAGATTCCAGAGCTGCCAAAATATAAAGTGTTGAGTTGTCCTCGCAACCATGTGACCATGTACTGCAGAAAGATGTCATTCTATATTGACAACGATGAACTGCTAGTGAATTGCTTCCAAGATAGCTTGTCTGAAGCCTCTTTGGATTTGTATATGGGTTTAGAGCGTAGTAAGATTCGCTCATGGAGAGACTTGTCTGAAGATTTTTTGAAACAATATAAGTATAATCTCGATTTGGCTTCTACCATATTACAATTACAGAATCAGTCTCAGCGTACCACTAAAACTTTGAAGGAATATGCGCAGAGATGGCGAGAAATGGCCTCCCGTGTGCGACCTGCTTTATCTGACACTGAGCCGATTGATATTTTTATGGGAACTTTACAAGGGTTGTACTATGAGAAGATGGTGGACAGTTTTTATTCAAATTTTATTGATATTGTGACTGTTGGTGAAAGAATTGAAAATGGTTTGAAAATTGGTAGGATTGTTGGTACTTCTACTCAACAGCCAAACAACAAGAAATCTCAGGGCAGTTATTCAAAGAAGAAGGAAGGCGAAGAAAATGTTGTTATGGCAAAGGCTTCTCCTCAGTATCAGGTTCCTATGGCTTCTATGTCATATTATCATTATCCTTATGTCCCTGCGGCTCAATATCAACAACCGCCATATCAATATCATCCACAATAACAAGTTCACAATTCTCAGAATTAACAACAACCACAACACCAAAAATCTCAATAAAACAACAAAAACCATCCATATTAGAACAGACAGAACAACAACAATCAGAACAATCGTAAGCGTTCTAAATTTGACAAAAATTCGGTGCCATATACAGAGTTGTTTCCTTATCTGGTTCATTAAGGGGAAATTGTCCCCAAAGAGATCACACCTGCAATTCCTCCTTATAGCCCGAAGCATAATCTGAATTCATCACGTGCTTACCATTCTGGGTACATAGGACATGCTACAAAAGATTGCATTGTTTTCAAGACCAAGGTTCAAGAGCTTATTGATCAGAAAATCTTGACATTTGCTGAAGAGTGGCCTAATGTACAGATTAATCCTTTGCCTACTCACGGTGGACCTGGGGTTGTGAACATGGTCGAAGACAATCAAGGAGCTGAGTTGATCATGGATGTCGACAAAGTCAAAACTCCGATGGCTATTGTGTTCAAGAAGTTAAACAAGCATGGGTTATTGAAAGGTCTTCATGGTAAGTGCTAGATTTGTGATGATAATCCTAATTAGTGCTGGAGGTTGAAGGGGTGTATTCAGATCTTGATGAACCGAGGTATGGTTCAGTTTTCCAGATCCAAGTCTGTGGAAGAGGTAGCTACCATCGAGCCATTCACGATCATATATAGGAAGATTCATGTGGAAGCTTCTAAGAAGAAAATAAAGCCTATCACTGTTTATGTTCCTAAGCCGTTCCCTTATTAGAGTTCAAAAGAGGTGCCTTGAAAGTATGGTTCCACTGTGTTTTCTATGGGTCGAGAAATTCAGTTTTTAGAGTCCGAGATTATGAATGTAACCTCTATTGGAGGCATGACTCGTAGTGGACGAGTGTTTGCTCCAACTGTTACTTCTAAGCTAGTGCAAGTTCCAATCATTGTTCCTCCCAAGGAGAAATCTGCTTCAAGAACCCCTGTTGTGCAACAAGGGACATCTACCGCTGCATCAGCGCCACTCATTCCGTCTGGGGATAATACAAAAGGTAAATAGGTCACCGCTGATGAAAGCCAATAATTTCTCAAGCTGATCAAGAATATTGATTTTAAGATTTTGGATCAGTTGGGGCAGACTCCCTTCAACGATTTTGATCTTGTCCTTGCTTACGAGCTCTCCCGCGTATAGATTGACTTTGCTAAAAGTTTTGAACGTTGCTTATGTAATGCACGATATTCCCATGGATCAGTTTGATGATGTGGTCGCTAACATAACTGCGAGTTGGTATATGGGTTTCAACGAATCAGAGTTGCCTCCTGAAGGAACTGTGCATAATAGAGCATTACATATCTTGGTAACTTGCATGGACGCTTTGCTATCTCGTGTCCTTATGGATATCCGTTCTTCTCTCAACGTGATGCCAAAGGTCACGTTGAGTCAACTACTGGTAGTAGGGAGCGATTGGCTTCCATCACTTGAAAAGTAATGGTGACCAAATGCGGTCCGATCTTGATGGATATCAATCCTACATATTATTGCTTATTGGGTGGACTTTGTATCCATGTCACAGGGGAAGTTACCTCCATATTACATCAAAGCTCAAGTTCATGTTTAACGACCAATTGGTTATTGTTTGTGGTGAAGAGGATTTTCTAGTAAGCGAGTTATCGTCCTTCTGATACGTCGAGGCTGATGAAAGCATAGATGAGGTGCCATTGCAATATCTTGAGTTTTAAGATGTCAGATCTACTTCTATCAATCAGAGCAGAACACTAGAAATAGCCATGACATCTGCCAAGAGTGCCAAAAAGACCCTTGAGAAAGGTGCCCTTCCTGGCTCGAGGCATGACCTGGATGTGGTTGAGAAACATGGTCGTTTTGGACTGGGTTATCGTCCTGATCAACAAGTTAGCTCGCATGGTCAACCGAAGTGCAATCTGATCAGGTTCAGTAGTGCTGGTTTTCAGAAGGGTGATATTGTGGCAACCATTGATGATGCTAGTCCTAGCAATCAGAGTGTAATATTTGTATGTAAGTGTTCGCTTGGCTTCAAACTCAACAATTGGACGTCTACTGTAGTTCCCATGGTTTTTCCTACAAACATATAATGTGTATTTGCTTTCATGCTCCTTCGTCCTCACCCGAGACAAGAGGATAGCTTGTAAAGGGCCTCCCGCTTTTGACGTATTATGTGATCAACAAATAAATGTTTTTTTTCATTCAAATCATGCTCTATTTCTTTCCTTATTTTACTTTTTCACGAAATAACAAATGGAAAAAGTTTCTTTTATTTTCACTTTTCAAAATAGCTCATTCTAAACAAATTCATAAACATGCAGAACAAATAAATGCATTGATGACAACATGGCAAACATCCATTGCAATTCTAAGATTCCAATTAACCAAGCCGAAGAAGATGGTGAGGATGATTGGGAATTACCGGTTGAACTAGAAAGGCTCCTTGAGCACGAGCGAAAAGAGATTCAACCACATAAAGAGCCAGTAGAAGTTGTCAATATTGGTACTGATGATGTCAGAAAAGCAGTCAAGGTTGGGGCATCCCTCACCAAGCATGTACACTTCGATTTGGTCAAGTTATTGAAAGAGT